AGTGTTTCATACCTTGTCACAGACTAGTTTGTATCCCGCGAGGCGCGGGATCGTGACGTAAGGTAACCCGCAGCGCGCGCCGATTCGATAACATACCCGCGAGGCAAGGGATCAATGACGTAATACCACAGGAAACCCGCAGCGCGATGCAATTCGATAACATAATATTGAAGCGTGCGCATTCGTTCTTTTCTTTCTCTCAAACAATAGTTGGGTAGCCTATGGCAGGGCATGAACTAACACTTTCCACATGCCGGGCATGATCCTACTTAGTTAGATCCCAGGCTCCCGCGGAAATCATTCCTCTCGGCGGACCGAGCAATTACTGCGTTTCGGGCATTGAGAATTCATCTACATGCTTTATGACCGTAAATAAACGGTAGCGTCGCATCGCGCAAACGATAAAGCTCAATAGCATCTGATTAGATAGCATGAAAAATATCACGGCCTGCCCAGTTAGCGAGAATTTTATATTACACTTACTGTGCATGTCACAAATGCGCAAATTACCGCTTAACGGTGACTTGTATGAGTCACAATCAGTGGTTAATCAATGTAGATTAGCATGAAATCGTCCTCTTGAAGGAGTTATACATAGCCATGGCATGAATTATGGCTTAAATTCATGCTTATGGCAACGATTGTGTGAAAATTGGATCAAAATTTTACTTTCTAACCCGTTCTTGACAAGAACCATGCAAGAGCGCCCTTTTAATATCTTTGCTTGATATGTGCTCAAAATAAACCGCAAAAGGAGTTTATCGCTTCTACGGAAAAGTTTGTGAGATACGTACCTTTTTAGCATGAGACTTTGGTTCTAATTCCAGCAGCATTTGTAACGGTTTATAAGTGTAGCTGGCTAGTTGAGCTCCGAGGACGACGTGTGCATAATAAACTCACGTGCACTTCTCAACTAAATTACACGTACACACTAAATTTAGTTCGTACTAATATTGACTTCGGTAGATTTTGTTCCATTGGATGAAGTTTAATATTATAATCTATAAAGGTCAATTGATTAAAAGTAAACTGAAAGCTTCTCGGCAAAAAGGAGTCTACATAAGCTTACAATAATAACATTGTTTCAATAATCGATGCTTGAACCCGGACTACTCGAACTTCACATATCACAGAAAACTGTATACAAAAATATATTTTTTACCTTCATTATCGAACTTCCAATAAATTATCGTTCAAAGGTCATCTTTAACAGAGCCATACTTGTTTCAAGCCGGCATAGGTTTCATCAATTTATTAAGTAATTCAAAACTGTAGATTCTTTGTTTTTAATCTCTCTCAATCTAACTGCTAGCATGGTCTTGGTTTCGAAATGTCCACACTTTTAGTCGACAAAAGAACTTCGCATAGATCCCTGCTTTTTCCCATATTGGTCCATATTATTGAAGTATTTCCAATAAAGCTCATCTCTTTTTTGATGTCGAAATATCAAAGTAATACCCTTTTTTCTAATATCACTTTTAAAAGATGGGCCTAAATTGCTTTTCATCTTCGCAAATCGATTTCCCGGATGTGCGGACGCGTCGAAGTTATGACAAAATTGGCGGGAATATTTCTGTGCTGTTATTTCGCTCTTCAGTGGATTTTTTCCTTGTGGTTAATTGTTCTAATGTTATCAATATGTAATATAAATGTTTAATTAAGGAAAAAAATTCGATTTTTCAACAAATATTTGGCGCTTTGTTTCCTTTTCGAGCGGAGTATGGGTTTCCTGTGGTGGTACACGCACTCCAGGAAGGAAGGACGGAAGGACGGACGGACGGAAGGAAACGTGCGTACGCGCGGGAACCCTGTGTCGGTCCATGGAAAATCGACTCGATGGTATACCATTTTTTCTTCGCTATGGTGCTCCAAGGCCCGCGCGGGAGCTCCGCTATTAAACAACGTAAATAAACGGGATCATTTAATTGCCATTATCAGCAACACTGGGCAACCTAAAAATTGCCTCTTATTTTAAAGTGAACGTGGTCAACGTACTGGTATGCAATGTGTGCACAGTCGTAATTTAGATTTTTAATATATGAAAAATAAAATAACTTCAAACATTCATTCGAAAACCATTTGATAGTTTTAATATTTATATCATATATTTTGCAATGTCCTCTACATTTATATATAGCATAAAAAGGATAATAAAGAGTAAGCAGGYTTGCTTATGTTGAGTTGTATTTTATCAGCGATGCATTCC